ATGTGTGTGCATGTGTACATGTGTGTGCATGTGTACATGTGTGTGCATGTGTACATGTGTGTGCATGTGTACATGTGTGTGCATGTGTACATGTGTGTGCATGTGTACATGTGTGTGCATGTGTACCTGTGTGTGCATGTGTACATGTGTGTGCATGTGTACATGTGTGTGCATGTGTACATGTGTGTGCATGTGTACATGTGTGGTACATGTGTATGTGCATGTGTACATGTGTGTGCATGTGTACATGTGTGTGCATGTGTACATGTGTGTGCATGTGTACATGTGTGTGCATGTGTACATGTGTGTGCATGTGTACATGTGTGTGCATGTGTACATGTGTGTGCATGTGTACCTGTGTGTGCATGTGTACCTGTGTGTGCATGTGTACCTGTGTGTGCATGTGTACCTGTGTGTGCATGTGTACCTGTGTGTGCATGTGTACCTGTGTGTGCATGTGTACCTGTGTGTGCATGTGTACCTGTGTGTGCATGTGTACCTGTGTGTGCATGTGTACCTGTGTGTGCATGTGTACCTGTGTGTGCATGTGTACCTGTGTGTGCATGTGTACCTGTGTGTGCATGTGTACCTGTGTGTGCATGTGTACCTGTGTGTGCATGTGTACCTGTGTGTGCTGTGTACCGTGTGTGCATGTGTACCTGTGTGTGCATGTGTACCTGTGTGTGCATGTGTACCTGTGTGTGCATGTGTACCTGTGTGTGCATGTGTACCTGTGTGTGCATGTGTACCTGTGTGTGCATGTGTACCTGTGTGTGCATGTGTACCTGTGTGTGCATGTGTACCTGTGTGTGCATGTGTACCTGTGTGTGCATGTGTACCTGTGTGTGCATGTGTACCTGTGTGTGCATGTGTACCTGTGTGTGCATGTGTACCTGTGTGTGCATGTGTACCTGTTGTGTGCATGTGTACCTGTGTGTGCATGTGTACCTGTGTGTGCATGTGTACCTGTGTGTGCATGTGTACCTGTGTGTGCATGTGTACCTGTGTGTGCATGTGTACCTGTGTGTGCATGTGTACCTGTGTGTGCATGTGTACCTGTGTGTGCATGTGTACCTGTGTGTGCATGTGTACCTGTGTGTGCATGTGTACCTGTGTGTGCATGTGTACCTGTGTGTGCATGAGTACCTGTGTGTGCATGAGTACATGTGTGTGCATGAGTACATGTGTGTGCATGAGTACATGTGTGTGCATGTGTACATGTGTGTGCATGTGTACATGTGTGTGCATGTGTACATGTGTGTGCATGAGTACATGTGTGTGCATGAGTACATGTGTGTGCATGTGTACATGTGTGTGCATGTGTACATGTGTGTGCATGAGTACATGTGTGTGCATGAGTACATGTGTGTGCATGAGTACATGTGTGTGCATGAGTACATGTGTGTGCATGAGTACATGTGTGTGCATGTGTACATGTGTGTGCATGTGTACATGTGTGTGCATGTGTACATGTGTGTGCATGAGTACATGTGTGTGCATGAGTACATGTGTGTGCATGTGTACATGTGTGTGCATGTGTACATGTGTGTGCATGAGTACATGTGTGTGCATGAGTACATGTGTGTGCATGAGTACATGTGTGTGCATGAGTACATGTGTGTGCATGAGTACATGTGTGTGCATGTGTACATGTGTGTGCATGTGTACATGTGTGTGCATGTGTACATGTGTGTGCATGTGTACATGTGTGTGCATGTGTACATGTGTGTGCATGTGTACATGTGTGTGCATGTGTACATGTGTGTGCATGTGTACATGTGTGTGCATGTGTACATGTGTGTGCATGTGTACATGTGTGTGCATGTGTACATGTGTGTGCATGAGTACATGTGTGTGCATGTGTACATGTGTGTG